AAAAAAAAAAAAAAATTCTAATGACAATAAAAAAACACTCAAAACTACAATAATCAGCATCAAAAATATGCTGCACAAATTCATTCAAAGTCCGCAGAGCTGTGCTTGCCTAGCATTCCTGTAAGCTCTGCACTTTGCAGAAAAGGCAAACAAATCTCCATCTTATGAATTTTGGTAGAATAAAATCTCACTGGGATTTTATTGTCTAATAGATGTAAACAGTTCAAACTCTATCTTCCCTAGCATAAATAGACAAAAGGTTTAGCCTTTATCAAAGTGCAAAGCATAGAGGCCATTCCTTGGCTCCAAATCAATTCAAAACACTCACCTGTTTTCTTCTCCTCTGGTGCCGCCGTGGATGCTTCCTTTCCCTCTGCTTTTGTTTCTTCTACAGGCTTCTTCACCTCCTCAGATGCCTGCTCAGGTGCTTTGCTTGCTTCAGTATCTGCCATGACTGCAATCTAAAAGAAAAAAATATGTAAGCATATACCTGTATGTACTTATATACATACATGTATGTGAAACAGATCTATGCTGGCTGAGTGACTTTAAAATTAGATGAATAATCCATTGGTATTCTGGCTTTCTTTTGAAAACGAGTCTTTTCTAAGGAAAGCCATCAAATGAATACATGTAGCACAAGAAAAGAAAAAAAGAAAAGAAAAAAGCGGAAAAGTCAGCAGTGGGTTTCATTTAAGCATTCCAAACTGTGCAGTCTACATGAAACCTAGACATATATGGGAGAAGACTGTTTTGTGAATTCTTTACATGATTCTACTGCAACAACTCTACTACCTGATAATTACAGTAGTATTTACATGAGAAAAAGTCGACAATTAAAAGCTTGTTAGATTTCTTAAGAACATCAAGCAATTTAAAATCTTTTAAGATATTCTTTACAATTAGCAATTAACAACTGTGATCTTTACCTTGCTCATGTCAATTTTATTATCCTTATTGCTGATAGTTCAAGATTAATGTATATTTGCAGAGAATAGCTAAAAGTTCAAGATAAAACCATGAACCTGTACTGCCAAGCTCAGTAACCCTGAGGAATGTATTAGTATTTTACTAATTAACCAGACAAGTGTGTCAATTATTGAAAAACATTTTCCAAGCCGAGTAGGAAAAAATATATAGACTAGTAATAATGGAAAAAAAGAGAGAATGAAAAATGAAGAGCTGGGGAGATAAAAGACAAATAGAAAAAGTGAAAGATTAAGAAAGGCAAATAGAGAGAGAGAGTAGAGAGAGAGAGCAGAGAGAGAGAGAGAGAGAGAGAGAGACGAGAGAGAGAGAGAGAGAGAGAAGAGAGGAGAGAGAGAGAGAGAGAGAGAGAGAGAGAGAGAGAGAGAGAGAGAGAGAGAGAGAGAGAGGAGAGAGAGAGAGGAGAGGAGAGGAGAGAGAGAGAAGGGAGGAAGAGAGAGAGAGAGAGAGAAGAGAGAGAGAGAGAGAGAGAGAGAGAGAGAGAGAGAGAAGAGAGAGAGAGAGAGAGAGAGAGAAGAGAGAGAGAGAGAGAGAGAGAGAGAGAGAGAGAGAGAGAGAGAGAAAGAGAGAAAGAGAGAAAGAGAAAGAGAGAAAGAGAGAAAGAGAGAAAGGAGAAAGAAGAGAAAGAGAAAGAGAGAGAGAGAGGAGAGAAAGGGAAAGGAGAGAGGAAAGAGAGAAAGAGGGAAAGAGGGAAAGAGAGAGACGAGAGAGAAGGAGACAGAGAGAGAGAGGGAAGAAGAAGAGAAAGTGGGAGGAAGAAATGAAAGAGGGAGAAAGAGAAAAAAGAGGAAAGAAGATAGAAGAAAGAGGAAAAGAGAAGGTAAGAAAAGAAGTGACAGGATAAGAGAAGAAAGGTGAAAGGGAGAAAGAGGGAGAGAGGGAAAGAGAGAGAGAGAGAGAGAGAGAGAGAGAGAGAAGAGAGAGGAGAGAGAGAGAGAGAGAGAGAGGAGAGAGAGAGAGAGAAAGAGAGAGAGAGAGAGAGGAGAGAGAGAGAGAGAGAGAGAGAGAGAGAGAGAGAGAGAGAGAGAGAGAGAGAGAGAGAGAGAGAGAGAGAGAGAGAGAGAGAGAGAAGAGAGAGAGAGAGAGAGAGAAGAAAGGGGGAGAAGGGGACAGGGGACAGAAGGGGGAGAGGGAAAGAAGGAGATAGATGGGAGAGATGGGGAGAGGAAATAAGAGAGAGAAGGAGGAAAAAGAGAGATGTCATGGTGCAAGGAAAGTTGGAAGGGAAAAGTGAGGGAGAGAAGTCGAGAGGGAAGGAAAAAGAGAGGGGGAACGAGTGGGAAAAAGCAATAGAGAGAGACTGAGAGGGCAAGCGAGAGGGGAAGTGAAAGAGTGAAAGAGTAGAGGAGTTAGGGAGTGAGGGAAAGAGGGAGAGAAAGACAAAGGGACAAAGGGACAAAGAGACTCGAGTGCCAGAGGAAATATACGAAAATGAGAAAAAGAAAGAAAGAGCAGAATGTGACAGTAAACAATAAAGAAAAGGCACAAGGAATGGAGAAAGAAAGAGAGAGAAGACGTCCAAACAAAGAAAGAATGAGAGCAAAAAGAAAAAGATTCACTGATTTTACACTGCACATAATGGCATCCCAAAGGTAACACACCAATGCACTTCACAAAAAATTTCCTTCTCTTTCTTTCAAGATCCACTCCAATCAGTTCTCCCTAAAAATGATACACATTAAGAAGCTGTCACAGCCTCCGATGATATAATCTCCCTCTTGCAACACGACTCCACGGGCAACATTGGTAATCAGTCCACCACGAAATTTCACACAGAATCACATCCACTCACCAAATGACTGGTTCCACAACTGGTCACAAGATGCCGTCAAGAGCATGTAGGCCGTCCCTTAGGGCAATACCCCCATCCTCCCCCCCTCAACACCACTTCCAATCATGAAAGAAAAAAAAGAAAAAAAAAAGAAAAAGAAAGAGCAGAAAAAAGACAACCATATACCTCACACTCACCGTCACCTGGGCCAGCAACCACCCTTGCATGCCACTCAGGCTATAAATAGGAGCTGCATGTGGATGTCAAACAGCACAGAATCTCATCATCTCTTCCAGTAATACATTTTGGACAAAATCACTCTGCTTGACACACAAATCAGGCAAGAAAAGAAGCTAAGACATAAAAAAAGGGGTTGATTAGACGGGGAAACCATGACAACCAACCTGTCAAATCAAGGAGAAGAAACCACTCTACTGACAATGGTTGTGAAGGAAACCACTGAATTCCATCACGAACAATAATGAACGTCTGAGAGAGATGGGGGGTATGGGGGGGAAGTGGGAAGTGGGGGAAGGGGAGGGGAGAAGTTAGGAGGAGAGGAGAGTATGAGGAGGAAGAGGGGGAGGGGAGGAGGAAGGAGGTAGAAGGTGGGGAGGGGTGGAAGGAAGAGTGAGGAGGAGGAAGGGAGGGGGGGGGGAGGAGGAGGAGAGGAGGAGGAGGAGGGGAGGAGGAGGAGGGGAGGAGGAGGAGGAGGAGGAGGAAGGAGGAGGAGGAGGAGGAGGAGGAGGAGGAGGAGAGAGAGGAGGGAGGAGGAGGAGGAAGGAAGAGGAGCAGGAGAAGGGGAGAAGAGAAGGTGGAGAGGGTAGAAAGAGGAGGAGGAGAGGGGAGGAGGAAGGGAAGGGAGAGGGGAGGGGTGAGGGGAGGAGTCAGGATGGAAAGTGGAGGGGGAGAGCTCCTTCATCTCCTCCTCTTCGTCGTCTTCCACTTCTCCGTCTTCTCGCTCTGTCCCTCCTCTTCTCGCCTGTCAGAACCTACCCTCTCAATTCCCCTTCATTTCTCTCCTTCTCCTTATCGACATACCTTATCCTACACGGCTTCAGAGCGTCCTAACACCACTGCATAAATAGAACCGGGTACTGGACATACTAACCTAGAGAGAGACGTGGCAGCGGCAAAAAAATAACAAGAATCCAGATCACCTTGAACTTTTTCTTGTTAGTGTTGTTGTTATTGCTGCGGGGTCGGTTGTCCTCCGGTACTTTGTTCTTGAAAGAAAACTAATCTTGGTAAATCAGGGGAAACTATTGTAAACCAACTTTTCCTTTTTATGGTACTGTTCACGACTTATAAGATAGTGAATCTAGGGTTTTGGTGCTCTTTATCTTTTTCCTATAGACTCCAAAGTTAATTGACGTTACAACTAATAAAGTGTGCTTATGTTAAAATCTTAATTCAAATTGGAATGACTAGGCAATTGATAAATAATGCAGCTAATTAATTGTTCTTTATATTTTAGATATATTTATAATTATAAAAATCTTCCACATATGCTAATATTTTGCTAGATATCATAGTGCGGTTATTAAAGACTTTTGATTAACTTAACAGTGAACGTCATTGAATCTGGCTGCATGATTTCCCATTCATGCCAGATAGTCTATAAGCATATTAAGTACGATTTTTTATTCCAAGATGATAAATTCTCGAGAGTCTAACATGCATGATTAAGAACCAACATAAATGAAGCTAAATAGGGAATGGAAAGAAAGATATCAAAATGATTTGCCAATCTCTATAAATATATGCTTTTGACGGAAATTCCTGATGGCAATACGATCCATGATGGAAACGAAGCTTTTCATATAATTCATGTCATTATATAATATCTAATCACTCTGTTAATAATACCGACACTTTCCCTTCCACTCAAAGAGTTTTTTAGAAGGAATTCTTTAAATATCTACATAAAGATGTGGCTTCCACAAGCTCCGCCCACCAAACCCCGGATATGCGCATGCCGTGATTGTAAACACGTTGAATAAATTTTTCGTCCTTGCGAGACAAAGCGCAAATACGAACGTGTTGGCTATATTCTGCCGAGGTGTTTAGGATAAGTCTGGTTGGGATTAACTACATTTAATGTTAGTTTTAACGAAGTTGCGGTGCACTACATTTCCAGTTGTTAGAGAGAGAGAGAGAGAGAGAGAGAGAGAGAGAGAGAGAGAGAGAGAGAGAGAAGAGAGAGAAAGAGAGAGAGAGAGAGAGAGAGAGAGAGAGAGAGAGAGAGAGAGAGAAGAGGAAGAGGGAGAGAGAGGAGAGAGAGAGAGAGAGAGAGAGATAGAGAGAGAGAGAGAGAGAGAGAGAGAGAGAGAGAGAGAGAGAGAGAGAGAGAGAGAGGGTGTTAAGCGAAACGAGAAAGACAGGTGAGGGGAGCAAAACAAACAGCCACACCTACAACATAAACGTGAAAAGGACACGAGATAATAAAAAAAATAACAAAAATAAGATTGTACAGTATGAGGATAATAATAAAGCTAATAAAAAAGCAACATATGATAATAATATATAAAGATAATAGTAATAATGATACTACCACTACTATTGATATTATCATAATGATAACAAGGAAGAAAGTGATGATACAATAGCAATGATAATAACTATTATAATAATGATAATACTAATTGATAATCACAATCATAATAACAATGATAATAATAATGATGTAATAATAATAATAATAATGATAATAATAATAATAATAATAATATGATCAAAAGATAGATGAAATAGAGTATTGGATCTCGCGTATAGTACGTATTTCGTATGGAATATGTAACGAATCCATGCTAAAGCTTAAATATAATGCTCCAAATGGATAAATAATTAATAGTAACTAAGGTATGTTAGGCATGCTATAAATATGATAACCTCTATAATAATTATCCCTACTTAAAAGATGGTTAATAAATAAGTGTATTCAGAGTCAGAATGAATAATTTTATGTCAAACTGATGGAGTTGAATGATAATTAATGTAATGATAACTAAAATAAATAATGATAAAAAACTAATAGTGATGAATACTGACCGTATTATACTAAGAATCACTTTCGGCAAAGTGTAGCATCAGACGTCACTCACGATAATGAGAAGATAGCAGAATAATACAGCAAATCCACATCCAGAGTCAGCATGTATACCCAATCATGGTCTTCGAATCCAATCGAAGATACAAGAACAGACGAGACAGACAACCATACACCGTCAGTATATGTCGGAGCTTATACACGATAAAGAGAGAACAAGACATGATGATCCCAGAGAGGCACGACTGTAACACGACAAGGCGAAATCAACTCGCACAATAAGTGAACATCCAGAACCGAACCAATAATCAAGAAACACAAGAATCAAAGACAGACATCGAAAAAAGTGTCTATACAACTATCCCACAAAGAACCTCCAATCGAAGAACTAGATACAAACCACTAACACGACTCAAAAATGAGATAATCAATAATTATATATACATAAAAAAATCAATAACGTTTTCCCAAAAAAGACATCTGTCAAGCGATCAACAGTAAACAACCCACAACTAATCATACAAGAAAACAAATACAACGAACACGATCCACTTCGTCAAAAGAATAGTCGAATATAGTCTCCTACTAATAATACCGATACAGCCAGGTCTTTTCGGGTTCACGTTGCCGGACCAGGAATGCACCGACCCAAGCCGGTTCATATGGGCGAGGGCGTGTGGGCGTGGTGGCGTGTGGGCGTGACTCAGCCAGCCGGATCTTTAAGGGCGGGGTGAGGATGTCAGGATGATGCGCCAAGCTGCTTTGGAAAGGATGGTGAGCATGTGGAATGCTGGTGTTGTGAGGTGAAGGTGAGGGTGATGAGGGTGGTGAGTGTGGAGTGTGGCCTGGTGGTGTGTGTAGGTGTGATGGTGATGTGGAGTGTGAGTGTGGTGGTTTGGTGAGGGAAGGTGAGGTGATTTGAGGTGGTTGGTGTGAGTGTGGAGTGGCTGGTGAGTCCGTGAGTGGAAGGTGAAGGGTGATGAGGATGGTGAGTGTGGGAGTGTGGCTGGTGAGTGTGGAGTTGTATGGAGTGTTGATGGTGATTGGTTGACGGAGTAGACGGTCCTGTTATAGAACCTGCGGTGGAGTCGGTGAAGGTGAGCGAGGAGTGTCCGCATTGACGGTGATATCGCTTGGAGGAGTGTAACATCGTTGGAGAGTGTGATGCGATGGCAGCGTGTGGAAGCTCGGATCGTGGAGTAGTGATCGGTTCTGCCATGGTGAGAGTAATGAGTTATATGAGGACCATTCTAATGCTGATGCGCACGCTCGTTGAGAGGTCGTATCGGGCGTGGTGATGGACTGTGTGAGTATATGGTTGTGGTATCACGTGGCCAGTGGTGGTAGGTGGACTCGAAGCGTGCGGCAGGTGGTGCCATAGAGGTGATGGGTGAGATATAGGACGATATAGTATCATGAAATGATGGGATGTGGAATGTCATAGGAGTGCCGTAGCGTACCGGAGAAAGGAGCGTGCTCATCTCGTCTGCGATGCGATAATCGACTTGCGACGGCGCCCCTTGAGGAGGACCCTCAGGGATCAGCGAGACGCACCACCAGGCACGAGGCGCAGAGGTGAAGGAACTGCGAGGTTTCTTTTGCATTTCAGAGGGATTCCGAAGTGCGCGTGTGTGTGGAAGTGCGCGTGCCGGTGCGTGCCCACTGGCTCTGCCTGTGCATGCAATGTCAATGAGCCTCGTATTGCAATATCTGATGGGATTAGTAGTCTGTTTTTCAAAGAATCTCGGAGAGCCGAAAGAGATACACTAACCTCGCGTCGCGCCTAATTCCGTGCATTCTGGCGCAAGCAAGGACCTGCCTCGGCGCTCCTTATAAGGCGCCCGACCCGTTGCGCTGGAAATGCGTCTGCCTTGGCCGCCCGGGCTGCGAGGGCGTGGACCGAGCACCCGTAAGCCCTTCTGGTCAGAGGGCGCCGTAAGCCCATTAGGATTCTAAATACGTTTTTTATTGGTCATTGCGTTTTAGCGCGAGAGACTGGTAGCAGTAAAACAGTTATTAATCATCGTGTTATTACGGCCGCCGTCTCGTTAATGCAGATGAACTGAACAGGCGAAGGAGGCGCTGACGGCTTGAGTGTCAGTAAAGTCGACTTTTGATCGCGGCGTCGACGGCGATGATCGTCAGCTCACCGACAGATCGACACAAAGGAGCTTCTCGTAAGATCTGGCAATAGGATAAGCCAAGGCGTGATAACATCGGCGAACAACTCATTTAGAAACGGCTTTGAACTACTGAACGAGAGGATGTACGTTCTTCCACTCATGAGCTCTGGGAATATCGTTAAGGGCCGAATTTAGTGTCATATTTCATGCCTTTAATCGTGATTTATAGGCGGTTATTTTCACTAAGAAGATCGCTATTTGAGGTGCGTTGGAGTCTCTCGAGAGATGGCGCGAGTAAAAAAGACGAACGTTCTGTAAAATCAAAGTTGTTCCATTAGAAGATGACAAAGACTTGCTCTGCGTGATATTTTGATGCAGGTAATAGACTTTTTCTTCTGTTTTTGTCATTCTAAAACAGAAATGCCCTGGAGTATCAAAATCAATTTCTCATCAGTCCATTAGAATTTAATAGCGGATGTGAAATGTGTATACAAACACACATACATACACACACACATACATACACACACACCACCACACACACACACAGACACACACACACACACACACACACACACACACACACACACACACACACACACACATACATACATACACGTATACACACACACACACACACACTAGATTTCTAATAGAATAAACGTTACCTTACATCAATCCATCTGCCTATAAATATGTACACACACACACACACATATACACACACGCACACACACGCACACACACACACATACACGTTAACACACACATTAGATTCTAATGGAATAAACACCATTGCCTGAATACCCCTCACTCGCGAAAACGAACAAACCACTCAGTTCCCTCTCCTAATGGGGGATCTCGGCGGCGCACCTGTTCCCCTTCCCCTCAGATCGAAAGGCAAATCACGGAACCTCATTTCCTTTCTCTAAACAGCTCATCCATCTCATTCACGCAGCTGTCAGGCCCGAGAGCCACTTTGCATAGTCCGTCTGGCAGGAAGTTTTTGGGGAACTTGCTTGCTCTCTTCCTTCGCTCGGTGTAGGGGAAGAGGGAGAGAGAGGAGGAGGAAGAGAGGGAGGAAGGAAGAGGGAGAGGAGGAAGGGGAAGAGGGAGAAGAAGAGGATGAGGATGAGGGGGAAGAGGGGGAGGAGGAAGAAGGAGAAAAGGAGGGGAAAGAAGAGAACAAGGAGGAGAAGTAGGAGATGGAAGAAGGGTGAAGGTGAACGAGGAAGAAAAAGAGGGAGAGGAGGGGGTGGAAAGAGAATGGGAAAAGGAAGAAGGAGGAGGAGAGGAAGAGAAAGATGAGATGAGGAAAGAGAGAAGATTGACAAAGTGGAAGCAGGAGCAAGTAGGCAAAGAAAAAGTTTGGAAATGTAGGTGGAAAAGGAGAGACGGAAGGAGAAAAGTAAAGGGAAAGGGTAGATAGAGGTGAAGAGATTTCATCACCTGCCATATTTCAGAAGTGGATTGTTCCATTCACATTTCATTTTGAAAATCAACTACATATGATTCTCATTTGACTCTAAAACCAAAACCAAGCAAAAAAATCTGATTTATAGATCTTTTTTTTAAAATCTGATCACATTGTAATTTGTCGACATGAATGGGATTTCCAGATTTAATGTATGTAAATATATTACCAATAATCATAATTTTCAGTTGATAAACTTCATAAAAACCTTTCCACTTTACTCTCCTTGCAGCCACAACCTCCTCCCAACTGTCTCCTTACTCTCCTCCATCGGTATTTTAGCATTCCTCTATTTTTGCACACATGTCAGGGTCATGAGTGCCAGGGAAAGGGTCTTGGGTTCCATGACAAGGAAAATCGGCTCTGTTCGGAGAGGCGACGGTGTTCTTTTCCCTCTGCGACCACAGAGTATGAATGGTTAGAGCAAGAGCCTTTGAAGTCGAGAATTCCCATCGCTGTCTGTGGCTGCTGTAACCGTAGCCTAAGGTGAGAATAAAAGAGGTGGAAAGTAGGAGGGGGGAAATGAAGAAGAAGAGGAAGACCTTGGGAATGTGGAATTAGAAAAGAAGAGAGGAAGAGGTGGGATATTGGAATGA